GTACCAATAAAAAAACAGTACATAGAATAAGCAATCAGTTCCAAATAAGATAGTAATTAATAACAAGTTCTAAGTGGCGCTTCAACAGGTTTGAGTACCTTCTGCGCTTGGCTCAAGCTGGTGCTCTTTTAATGATAAATTTTCTACAGTGTTGAGTTATTGTACAACTTGAGACAAATATATTTTTTATATCTTGAGACTTTTTAGTCAAAATACGACGGACATTTCAGCCAATTTCGTATGAAAAGTCTAGAAGAATCTAGACCAGAGCATTCTTAAGACACTTTATAGTATTTAATATGAAATTTCTCTCCCATTTTATAAAATAGATTGAATAAGTGTATTTTTATTAATAATTGCAAATCTATGCGCGCAATTTTTATTGGTTGTCGGTTCTGAGAAACAAAAAACTAAACAAAAAAATCCGAAAAAAGCCGAAACGTTTTTGATAATTTTAACACTTTAAGTTCAAAGAAAAATCTAGAAGCTGCCAAAACCGGTTTTTACTGAAAAAAATTAAATTTTCAAATCTGAAATGAAAATTTTATGTCTATTTTAGAGCGAGGGACGCAACTCGCCTTTATTGGTCGAAAATAGACTAAAAATCAAAAACTTCAAATCAGTTTTCTCGGCACTAGGACAATTTTATAAAAATTTGAAACGCGAAACAAATGGAGCAACAGTTTCAAAACTAGATCATGAAAATTATTTTGGGCTGGTCAAGGAATTGATAAGATATGAAAAAAAAAATTTGATCAAATGCTTAAGACCGTAAGTTGGCCAGTAGTTTAAATCGCAAATAGATTCCTTCCTCCATTGTTCAAGTTTTTCATTTAAGAAATAGTCCGCCAACAACAACTGCCACAAACGCAACTACTGCGACTACCACAAATACCACGAGCGGAGCAAACACGACTGCAGTCGCCAACACCACGACTGTCTCCGGCAAACGCAACCACGAAGAGCGGAGGCACAAAACCGACTGCTAGTGGTCCGACAACAACACAGAAAGGACAAACGACGACAACAACTAAAAAGGGACAAAAGACGACAACAACTAAAAAGGGACAAAAGACTACTACCAAAAAAAGGACAGAAAACAACGACAGCTAAAGGTGGTCGGGTGTTTCCGGTTGCACCTTCTCCAACCCGCATGATGATAAAAAGTTCTTCACCATCTAAAGGGCCCCCACTTTTGGTACTATTTTGCGATGATCAGTTTTGCTTGTCTGAAGCTTTACTTTTTCGAAGACGCGTTTGGTGGCAATGTACACTAATTTGAAATTTGTGCGCAGTTTTTTTTGATGAAAACTTTTGAATGATGCCAAAATACGGCTTTTTATTAATCAAAATCTTGTCTGACTCCTTGAATTTTGTGGGAAAACAGTCTATATTTAACATTTGGAAATTGTCAAAATTTTAAACTTGATCGATCGAAAAATGATAATATAAAAGAAGCCGGTTGGGGTGTTCAACTGAAAACACCTAAAGGAGCGACAACTAAAAATCCGAACGGACCTGCATTTAACCCGAGTGATGCGAACGAGGATAACCTTGCGGCCGCTTATTTGACAGCACAGTGTAGACT